TCCTCTCTCTCTTTCTCTCTCTCTCTCTGTCTGTCTGTCTCTCTATTATGTCTCTGTCTATTTATCTTCTCTCTCTCTGTGTCTCTCTCTGTCTCTCTCTCTCTGTCTCTCTCCGTCTATCATGTCTCTGTCTATTTATCCTCTCTCTGTGTCTCTCTCTCTCTGTCTGTCTCTGTGTATCTATCTATCTATCTATCTATCTATCTATCTATCTATCTATCTATCTATCTATCTATCTATCTATCTATTATCTATCTATTATCTATTTCTCTCTATTTATCTATCTATCTATCTATCTATCTATCTATCTATCTATCTATTATCTATCTATCTATCTATCTATCTATCTATCTATCTATTATCTATCTATTATCTATTTCTCTCTATTATCTATCTATCTATCTATCTATCTATCTATCTATCTATCTATCTATCTATCTATCTATCTATCTATCTATCTATCTATCTATCTATCTATCTATCTTTGCTTGTCGGAAGGTGGCAAAATATGGTCACCTGACCCTGGGACACTGCGACCCTCATAAATGCGAGTCAGTCGCCAAGCATCTGAATTTGGATCACGTGACCGCAGGGGGTGCTGCGACGGTCGTAAGTGTGAAAAACGGTCCTGAGTCCCTTTTTTCAAGGTTGTTATAACTTGAAACGAAGGAATGAACGGCTGTAAGCTGAGAACTGCCTGTATGATTATTGAAAAAGTTTTCCTAGTTTTCAAACTTTTCATGCTAAAGATCAGCAGCTCACGAGGCCTGTGCAGGCTTGGGGGATGGGGGGGCATCAGGGTAAAAGAGACCCCGGGGAGAGAGGTCCCGGTTTAAGGGGGAGACAAGGGGTCCTGGGGGTGGCTCCCTCCCAGTTTCCCCCCCCTCCTTACCGTGTATAAGCACCATTCTTGGACGGCAGGCTCCGGATCCAGGCCCGGCAGATACTTGCTGATGAAATCCTGCAGGCGCTGGAGGTCGGACACCGGAGGGGAGACCCCACCATGCTGGTCGGGCTTGTCGGGGTCCGTGGGGGAGCCGTGGTGGTAGCAGACCTGGCGGGAGATGGACAGATGGTCAAGGAAGGGGCCTTGGGGCTCTCTGAGCTTGGTTGTTTTCTTACAGACGTTTCATGACCCAACTAGGAAACATCATCAGTGCTAGACAGGAGTGCAGTGTAGCAGGAGGAGGAGGAGGAGGAGGAGGAGGAGCAGGAGCAGGAGCAGGAGCAGGAGGAAAAGGACTGTGGGGTCCTTGATTCTCTCTGAGCTTGATTTTTTTTTCTTTCAGACGTTTCATGACCCATCTGGGGAACATCAACCTTGGTAGACGGGAGTGCAGTGTGTGAAGAGGAGGAGGAGGAGGAGGAGGAGGAGGAGGAAGACGAAGACGAAGAAAAGGACTGTGGGGTCCTTGGTGCTCTCTGAGCTGGGTGTTTTCCTTGCAGATGTTTCATTAACCCAACTAGGTAACATCATCAGTGCTAGAAGGGAGGAGGAAGAGGAAGAAGAGGAAGGGGAAGGAGAAGGAGGAGGAGGAGGAGGAGGAGGAGGAGGATTGTGGAGTCCTTGATGCTCTCTGAGCTTGATTTTTTTGTCACAGACGTTTCATGACCCAGGTAGGTAACATCATCAGTGCTAGACGGGAGTGTGGGACTCTGGGGTCCCGGGTGGTCCCTGGAGTAAGGCTTGAGTAAGTCGCTGGTGCTGCAACGTAGCACCTGGTGCTGATCCGTCGCGACTGGCCTTCTCCCTCCGGTGGCCAAGATGCCGCCACCCGTCAGGGGCCGCTTGACCCCTAGGCGAAACCACCGGGCAGACCCCTCCCCAATTCCCCTCCTGCTCACCTTGATCAGATCCGGGTACTCGCCGGCCTGCAAGCCGTAGAAGTGGTGGTCGTCTCGGTTGAGGCCGATGCCCAGGAAGCACGGAGGAAGCCCCGGGAGACCCCGGGGGCCGGGCACCTTCGCCCGCAGGTAGCAAACTCGGATACGCAGCGGCTGAAAGGGGGAAATGGGGGGGGGTCAGGAAGGGGGGGAGCCACACCTCAGCGTTCACTTAATGACGGAGGCGAGGAAGGTCGTAAAACGGAGCAAAACCCACCTAACGACCGTCTCGCTTCGCCATGAAATTTGGGGCTCCCCACCGCTGATCCTCCTTAAGGGACGCCTTGCGCCCCAATTATTGCCTGACCCCCCCAACTTCTTTGGGAGGGGGGCGTCCCCTCCTTACCTGAAGAGGCAGCTGCAGTCCCAACGGAGCCAGGAGCTGATTGGTCCACGCACCGGCTGTGACCACTAGGCGTTTGGCCCAATACTTCCCTCGGTCGGTCGTCACTGTGACCACTGACCCCGGCAGGATTTGGAGCACCTTCTCTCCGTCCCTCAAGACCCCCTCGTGCCTCTGAAAGAGGTCCTGGGGGGGGACACAAAAGGAGGTCAGTCTGACCCCCCCTCCCAGTTTTTGCTTGCCCCCGGCGGGGGCCACCGCATCCCCGGTGGACGTTTGCACGCTCTACGGGGCAGGTGAGGAATCGGTGCTTAATGCACGGGGGAGGGCAGTGGGGTGCAGCTTTCCTGGGGGGGGAACACCCCCTGCCCCCCCGAAGACCAGGCTGGGGCGTGGAATCCGGACGGGGCCTGAGTTCGAATGTGGGAGGTCTGCCGGTCAGTGTTGCTGGTGCAAGGAGGCTGGGCGGAGAAGGAGAG